CTAAAATAAACCCGCGAAGGATCAGGTTTCCGACCGAAATAACCCGGGACCGGCCTTGGAAATGCGAACTGCGAAAGCGATCCGGGCGGGCGGGAGCGCCGGGGTGGGGAGGCGGTGGTGAAAAACGCTGTTCCAGGGCTCCCTCCCCCTCCTGGCAAGGGCCCCGCCGCTGCCCCTCCCTCCTCTCCCCTCCAGCTGTGCGACTCCCCGAGACGCGTCCCTCCTGCCGGGTGGAGTGGAGCTTCTCCCCCCAGTCCCTTCTCCCCTTCCCTTCTGGGGTCGTCACCCCAAATAACCCGCCTCCTTTTGTCATCCGTCTTTGAAGGTGAGGCCTGTGGTATATTAGAGTCCAGCCTGCGGAAACACGGAGTCATGGCCTCCTACTGTGCGCCAGGCCTGTCTGGGCCCCCTGGGCACATACCTGACCATGCAGAGGACAGTCCGTGCCCCCTGGGCTGACACTGCTGGGAGGACATGAGCCATAAACACACAGAGAGTAAGTGTTATGGCCAAGGGCAGAGGAGAAGAGCAGAGGAGGGTAAGGGGTCCTGGGGTGCCCTCTGGCTGACTCGATGACCCAGATAGAACCCCTTCACCTCTGAGTTTTGATGTTCCCATTTGGGTGAGAAGGACTCAAAGCCCATGAAGTTACTGTGACAGTTTGGGGACACACACTTGGCTCAAGTAGGCACAGAGCAAGTATTAGGTGCCAGCTAATGCTACCCACGCTTCGTCGTTGTAAACAGTAGTAGCAGATCTCTCTCAAACATTTCAAGACTGGGGCACTTGGGTGGCTCAGTGGTTAAATCCTCTGCCTTCGGCTCAGGTCATGATCTCAGGGTCCTGGGATCGAGTCCCGCATCGGGCTCTCTGCTCAGCGGGGAGCCTGCCTCCTCCTCTCTCTCTCTGCCTGCCTCTCTGCCTACTTGTGATCTGTCTGTCAAATAAAAAAAATTTTTTTTTTCAAGACAACAGGTCGCAGGTGTCTAGGCCCCACAGCCGGAGTCTGAGTCCTGCAGTGCCCCTTCCCTGCTGTGGGCCCTGGCAAGTCACTTCGGCCTCTCAGCACAGGACAGGGCTAGAACAGGAAGGTTTTGTGCACCACGGGCCAGGTAGGGTAGTGGCTCCGGGCAGGTCAGGTGGTCTGCAGGCTTGGGCACCTCCGCGGGTCACCTTTGCACTTCCTACTGGTCCTTGCCTGAGGCCTGGTGCCTAGCAGTCCTCCAGAAGTGTTCCACGAGCAGGCGAGTGCATCAGTGAGTGCCAAGCCGTCGGGCAATAGAGAAGCTGGGGGACCCCTGGCCAGAAGGAAAGCTTGCAGCCTTGGAGTTGCAGGGACCAGCCATCCCTGAGCTTCACAGGTGATGCCACCACCCTAGGCTGCCCTTCCTCATCTCTAACATGGGAAGAGGGTGCTTGGACTTGCCCTGTTGCCCTGTCGATGTCTGGAAGCATCTATAACCCATGTTTTCCCGGGTCTGGGCACTGCAGTACGTTGCTCAGGCCGACCCATCAGACCCACGTGGATGCAGCTGAGCCCGTGGTGGCCTCTGGCACTTGCCACCTGAACCACGTGTTTGTAGTTTACTTTGGCACTTGGTGGGGGTGTGTAAGGAAGGCTGAGGCAGACTAGATTTGTATGGTCATGAAATGGAAACAGGCTACGTGTCCAACAATAAGAGGTTGCTTACAGAAGGTATGGCCCATCCACACGACAAAATGCCAAGCAGCCGTTGGAAGATGGCAGGTTGTCATGGAAACATGGCCAGGTTTATATTACATGAAAACATATAGGTTATTTTTTTAAAGGGCATATAAAAAATAAAAAATAAAAAAATAAAGGGGATATAAAACAACCGTGTTTTATATGTGCATTTGTGTACATATGATAGTTTGTTTAATGTATATTCTTGCTGAGAAACATATATATTCTTGCTGATTATTAAAGTAATACTTGGTTTTGTGAAATAGGATAATAATAGGAAATGAGACAAGTGAGAATTCCTTTATAACCTGGTGACCCTCATGTTAACAGTGGTGGTCTCCAGGCAGTAGGATTGTACCTATATCATCTGTAGTTATTTATTTTTAAGATTTTATTTATTTGAGAGAGAAAGAGAGAGAACATGAGAGGGGGAGGGTCAGAGGGAGAAGCAGACTCCCGCCAAGCAGGGAGCCCGATTCGGGACTCGATCCTGGGACTCCAGGATCGTGACCTGAGTGGGAGGCAGTGGCTTAACCAACTGAGCCACCCAGGTGCCCCTCATCTGTATTTATTGAATTTATTTCGGTAAGCATGTAATCTCTTGAGAATAAGAAAAAAAAAAAGTAAGTTTACTGGTAAAAGTAAACTGTTTTACACACTGGCTAGTTATTTCGTGGGTGTGTGTCCTGTCTCCGAAACTGGGCTTCATGAGGAGCTCAACAAAAGCATCGATTGAATGAATGAGTGGATTCTGAGTGTCCTTGAGCAGTGGGACTGTGTGGTCTATGGTGGGGCCTCAAAAAGGGGTGCAGCCTGCTTCTCAGCTGAGAACGTGAACTGGGTCACTCCCCCTCTTATGGGGGGAGGCACAGGTCTCAGGCTGAGTGAGTCCCACACCCTGTCCTTCCAGCAGCCCCCCAGGATGGGGAAGAGAGATCAAGAGGGCTCACAAGGCTCATTGGTGGTCACTAAACTGGGGGTGGCTGAGCCATGGTTGGAACCTGGGGCTGTCTCACTCCAGAGCCTACTCTTAACCACTCCCAGGCCAGAGCCCAGCTGGACTTCATGGACCCCCCGCCCCGAGCCCCCCGCACAGAGCCCACTGTGGCCCTCAGAGCCTGCTGGCGACTCTGACCAGACTGAGATGCTGACATAGACCTCGGGGTATTAATAGCCCCAGTCTGGGCTGGGCTCCTCTTCCCCTCTGGAGGTCAGCCGAGGTCAGGGGCCCCACCCAGGGAGAGCGAGATGAGCTCCTCCCTGGTGGAGAACTGAGCAAGCACACCCAGGTCCCTGCTGGCTGAGGGATCTTTGTCTGGAGGTCCTTGTGCTCCTCCCCAGGCACTGCTGGGGAGTTGAGCCCCCACTCCTTTAGGCTTCTTGACTGGAGGCCTTCGCACCTCTGAGCCTCAACGTCGTCATCTCTAAAATGGGGGAAGTACCACATCTTCACGAAAGGTTGATTATGGGGTGTGAACAAGTTAGAGCACCCAGCTTGGTCTAGTGCCCTCTGTCCGCGCATTCTGAGTACATCTCCCTCTGCGTCTGTCCAGGGTCCGGGAGGAGGCAGCACAGGTCATCATTTCCACCCAAGAGGCTAGGACATCCTCCCTGTAGCCGTGTGGTCTGCATGGGGCCCTCTGGAAGAGGAGTGCCAGAAAGTCTGCAAGGAAATCTGGATTCAGGGCTCCTGGAGTCTGGCTTCACACCAACAGGGCCCAGACTTTGGTGGTGGGTCCTTCTGACGGGGACACCCAGAGGGAAGAGAGGACTGTGCCTTCTTTGTTCAACCCATAGAGTGGACGGCTCACTATGTGTCAGGGACCCTGCTCAGTGTTTAACAAGCATCGTCTTACCGACCTCACACTAGCTTTTGAAAAGTAGACACTATGATTCCCATGTTACAGGTGGAAAAACCAAGGCCCAGACAGGCCAAGTGACTTGTCCAAGATCCCACAGCTAGTTGGGGACAGAGCCCAGGCCATCCCCCCTCTGTCAGACCCAGACCCTACGGCTGGTGCCCTGTGGCCAGAGAGCCCTCACCCCACTCCAGGTAGCTGACTGTCCTTGGGAGGCTCTGGACCTGGTGCGGGCTGTGGGGTGGGCCGGGGGCTTCACAGGTGGTCTCCAGGATTGGAAGGGAAGTCACAGCCTTCTGTCTCCAGCCCAGCTAGGCAGACAGGCCTTGGCTGCCCTGAACTGTGAGACCAGGACATTCACTCCTGACTCTTCTGGTCACCCTCTACTAGCAGCTTTCCCTTGAACCCAGGCCCAGTCAGCCCTATGAGGGCTGTGGAGACTTTGGGTACCTCCAGTCGCCCGGGGTGGGGGGACAGAGAAGCCTGACTCAAACCCCAAATCTTTGACTGGGCCCTTGGGTGTGCCCTCCTTGGGATCTCAGCCTCTCTTGTCCTTCTGAACTATGTCCCAGCCACACGGGCCTCCCGGGCCTCCTGTGGGGTAGGCTCTCCCCTGCCTGGGACCTCCCACCTGTTCTTCCTTCCTGGGGAAGCCCCCCATGATTCCCAAGCCAAACCCAGGGCCATGGTTCTGTGATCCTACCCCACATCCCTACACCTCCAATCATTTATGTGTGGCTTGTTTAATCCCCACGGAACTGAGCTTCCCAGGGACAGGGACGGACATTTCATTCGCTGCACGTGCCAGTCCCCTCACATGGTGCCAAGTGTCTGGTGACCGAGGGCCTGCCTGAGCCGCTGGAGTGCCCCTGTCCTCCGCAAAACTCCGAGCAGCGGAGACAGCCTCCAAGGGACAGATCCCTTACCAACCCATCAATTGGCCCTCCCTCTAGTGGAACTCAAATCTTAGCAGATTGCCATTTGATTGGACTCCGATGCGGGGAAGCCAAATTCAAGACTGATTAAAAAGTAAAAATAAAACCCCAGGCTGCCAGCTTAATGAAATGCTGTCACAGAGGGGAGGGGCTCGGCCTGGCCCCAACGGCCCCAAGATGATGCTGGCAGTGACGTCTTTCACTCCGTCTGGTGCCCCGTCAGGCCTTTGACCTGACTCCGCTGTCCCGTCCATGGGACCAGGTCCGAGTGCCCGGGGCTAGGGGGCAGGCAGGCCTGGCTCACGGGGGTCTGCACTGCTCAGAGGGAACCTGGTAAAAACAGGGGTGGGTCCAGGGCCCACACCAGGGCTTCTGGCCCGGGGCCCTGATGAGGCTGGAGCAGCAGGGACTACATTTCCCAGAGTCCCCGGGTCCCGGGGAGTGAGCCATTGGAAGATTTAAATAGCCCAGGCCTGAGGCAGCCCGGCCACAGCTGTGCACGCGTCAGCCTCCCCGGCGCCTCCATTGGCGCCGGCCCGCATCGGGGGCTCGATTGGCTGCCCGGCTGGTGCTGACGTCCCCCCGGAGCCCGGCGGCAGCCAGAGGTAAACAGCCATGTGCAATCCCGCACTCCGTATTTAACAGCTGCTGCGGGGAAGGCAGGGAGGCAGGGGGCGGCGGCGGCTCCCGGGGCAGCTCCTGTCTTCGGGGACCAGGCCTCGCAGCAGGGCTGGCACCAGCCCTCGCCGTGTGAGTGGCATCATGCCAGCCTCCCAGAGCCGCGCCCGGGCCCGGGACCGCAACAATGTCCTCAACCGGGCGGAGTTCCTGTCCCTGAACCAGCCCCCCAAGGGGGCCCCGGAGCCCCGCAGCTCGGGCAGGAAGGCCCCGGGCCCCTCGGCGCAGCCCCCACCCCCGGGCGATGGGGCCCGCGAGCGGCGCCAGTCCCAGCAGCTCCCCGAGGAGGACTGCATGCAGCTGAACCCCTCCTTCAAGGGCATCGCCTTCAACTCCCTGCTGGCCATCGACATCTGCATGTCCAAGCGGTTGGGGGTGTGCGCCGGCCGCGCCGCGTCCTGGGCCAGTGCCCGCTCCATGGTCAAGCTCATTGGCATCACGGGCCACGGCATCCCCTGGATCGGGGGTACCATCCTCTGCCTGGTGAAGAGCAGCACACTGGCCGGTCAGGAGGTGCTCATGAACCTGCTTCTGGGTGAGTGTGTCTACCGCCCGCCGCCCGCCCCACCGGTCCCCCCCGGGAGGGAGCCCACGCCACCCCACCCGCCCGCCCAGGATGAGTGGGGCCCTCAGAAACCAACTGGAATGATCTAATGAGGTTAGGCAGGAAGGGTGCCCCAGAAACAGGCAGGCCTCCAGCTTGGGAAAGAGAGAAGCAGGGATGTGCCGCCAGGGGACCCCTCAACGTGGGGGCCTCAAGGATGTGGAGGCCCTGTGGGGTCCTCCAGGGAAAGGCCCAGCTCTTGGCAGAGTGTACCACTGCCCCAGAGATGACTTGAGAGAAGGGGGTACTGGAGGCTCTGGTCTCCAAGGAGGCCCTCAGGAGTCTGGCGAGGGTCCTGGAGGGGGAAGAATCCTGGTGTCCTAGAGCAGGGTAACTCCCATCCCGTGGGCTGGGGTCCTTGAGCTCCTAGGCTGCTTGCAGACCATATCTGTGAGCTGCCTGGATGTCCCCTCTGCTTGGTTCAGGGACCCTGCCAGCTGCCCGGGCCTGGGGGAGCTGGACGTCCTGCCTGCGGCTCTGCCCACTTGTGGCCGCCTAGGGTCCTCACCTGCTGCTTCCCCGGGTGGGTCCCTGGGGGGCAGCCAGGGGAGCGGGTCCCTGGTTTGTCTCACCATATAGTCTCTGCCGCCAGCGTCGTTCAGTCGAGCACCGCCCTGTGCCAGGCACCACATGGACCCATGCGGAAGGCAATTCCTCCCCGCCAGTCACGAGGTGACATCCGGCTCCCATCCAGCCCTCTTCCAGGCACCTGCACTTCCCGCAGGTGCTCGGGTAGCCCTGGCTCCCACCCTCCATGCTGGCCCATGTGGGTCCCCTTGGCCCCCCCAGCATGGCCACCATTTTGGGCACAGGCAGGCGGCTGGCCCAGGCTCTCAAACCCTGATGAGGGAACACAGCTCCAGAAGGGGTGCAGGCTGGATGGCTGAGAGCTGCGGTCCTAGGGGAAGGTGGGAGAACATGTATCTGCCCACCCGGGGTCAGAGGGGCTGGGGCTGGACGCTCTGTGGGTGGGACGTGGGGAGGACTCGGACAGGTGTTTCCTGTACCCGCAATGTTTTCATTCTTTTAGATTGCTTACGTTCCTTGTTATTTCTCGGGAATAGACCCGCGTGACTGCTGCTATTATCGCTCCCACTTTACAGATTAGGAAATTGAGGTTCCTATAAATAAAACAACCTGGCCAAGGCTTCAGAGCTGGAGATCTGCACCAGGGCCGCCTGACACCGAGGCCAGTGCCCTTTCCAGGCGCAGTGCCACAGGCTCTGGAGTGGGGGGCAGAGCAAGGTGGCTGAGGCGCCAGGCCAGGGGCTCATGACCCAGGGTTTCCCCAGGGCTGTTGCAGCCCCAGACAGAACGCAGTTCAAGAAAGCTGTGTTGGGAGTTAGGTAGTCTGGTGTCCAAGGACAGGGGTGAGAAGGTGCCCTTGAGCCTCCCTCTCAAACCTGCCCGCTAAAACCATCCATGGGTCCCTCCCTGGATGACGCTGGAGGTGGTGACACTGTATTGGGAATGAGTTTGTCGTTTACTTGTGCCCAGCATTGCATAAAGCGTGCCATTGCTGCTAACCCTCACACAGCCCGGGAGGGAGAGGCAGTCATCCTTCTCCTGGTACAGAGGAGGAAACTGAGGCACAGGGAGGCGGCTGGCCCATGGTTGTGCAGCTAGTCAGAGATGGGGCAGGGGTGAGAACTGGGAGCAGCTCTAGCCTGCAAAGCTGAAGTTTCTGGCTCATTCCAGCAAAACCCACGGCTGGGAGCTCAAAGGTGTCGGCTTCTGAGGATGAAGGCCAAGATTCAAGACGCCGCTCTTTTTGAACAAGAGTTTATCGAGCTTTATCGTGGCCCAAATACTGTGCCATGAATGTCCTGTACATCATAATGTAAAACGGTGTTTAATGACTTAATAAGATGAATATTAATATACCCACTTTACAGGGGAGTTAACTGAGGCTCAGAGGAGTCAAGGGACACACCCACCCCATGCGAGTGTTAGTGTTCGGCCCAGGAGCCAAAGCCACATACGCAGACGGCCAGACCCTCACCTCCCCGCTCCCTGTCTGTCTGTGGGTCGAGGTGCCACCCAGTCCATTCCAGAAGCATGAACGCAGCAAGAAGATGAAGGGTCGTGGTAAGGGAGCGAAGGGTCTAGGGGGATATTTTCCACCTCCCAGCCCCTTTGCTCGTGTACTTAGTTACCTAGACCACGGAGAAATGAGGGCCTAGCACAAAGCAGCCGCTCTGAGCAGGCAGAGTGCTCTGTGGGCCCTCCGGTTCCGTGGGAGGAAACTCCAGCAAGTAGCCAAGGTGGGTTCTAATCCCACAGCTCCGGCCCAGCCTGCCTAGGGGGCTGCTGGCACCGTCCTCCACTTGGGAGAGCAGCCCACCCACTGCGCACAAACTGCGGGCTTCTGTCCATCCTGCAGTCTTCGGGGGGCCATGGAGGCAGCCTTCAATCCTAGAGCACAGGTTCCAAGGTCAGACTGGGCTCTGTCCACTCCTCTGACACTTTCTCTTTCTGTGAACTTGGTCAGGTGGGGTCCCATCCCCGAGCCTCAGTTTCCTGGTCTGTACATGGGGCTCTGGGGCTTATGGGAAGCTGAGAAAGCCCTTGGCACAGGGCTCCCCTGTGGGGGTCCGGTGCCATCCAGTGCCCTGGCGTGGAGGCCCCACCTGTACAGCTGGGACCTGCGCTCCCTGTGACCTCAGAGCAGAAAACTCAGGGGCCTTGGGAAATGGGAGCTCTAGCTGCAGGGCCTGGGAGGAGCCCCAGCTGGGCCAGGTGGAAGTTCTCTGCGCAGCCCCCTACCCCGCGTTCCCTCCCCGAGGGCATGCTGGGCGGACTGGAGAAAAAGCCAGAAGGGATCTGAGCAAACCTTGGTCTCCAGAGTCAGCGGGATCTGGGTGCAAACCCGAGGCCTGCTGTGCGGACTCAGATGAGTGACTTTGCCTCTCTGAGCTTCATTTCCCTCATCTGTCAAATGGGCGGCTGGGACACTTCTCCAAAGAACACATAAGAAGTTTGGCACGTCCCATTGCCCATCAGCGCCCCTGCCCCCGTGGTGATCACCATCATCACCACCACTCATGTCAAAACAGTTCCAGGTCCCCTGCAGGCTCCAGATGCCTATGAGATGTCCTGTCCCCTCCCTTGGCCCTCTCCTGCTGCACTCGGCTTGATGATCCCAAAGGGAGCCATGTGACAGGTGACCTAGGCCCATCCCTGTTTCTTTGTGGGCTGGTCCTTGGTAGAGGATGGCTCCCATGTCTTGTTGCCATGACGTTTTTATTGAGATTTTCCTGATTATGAAAACTATGCATTCTTCTTGTTCTATATCACTTTTTAAATTTTTCACTTATTTGAAAGAACAAGAGAGAGAGCACAGACAGGGGTAGGGGCCGAGGGAGAGGGAGAAGCTAGACCCCTCGCCTAGCAGGGTCTCCCATGCAGGGCTCGATTCCAGGACCCCAGGATCATGACATGAGCTGAAGGCAGACGATTAACTGACGGTGCCACCCAGGCGCCCCTCTGTATCATTTTCTATTGTGAAAAAATAGTCATGATCCCAAACCTACCATTTTGACCACTTTTTAAATCCACACTTCACAAGCATTAAAAACCTTCCCCATGTAACGCAACCATGACCGCACCCATCTCCAGAACTTTTCCACCTTTCCAAACCGAACTCAACCCCTAGTAAAGACTAAATCCCTATTTCCCCCTCCCCCAGCCCTTGGTGCCCACCGTTCCACTTCCTGTCTCTATGAACTTGACTTCTCTAGGGACCTCGTAAAAGTGGAATCATAAGGTATTTGTCCTTCTGTGTCTGGCTCATTTCACTTTGCCTAATGTCCCCCAGGTTCCTCCATGCAGCAGCTGGTGTCAGGATTTCCTTCCTCTTTAAGGCTGAATAACGTTCCATCGTGTGGGTAGACGGAGCACACCGTGTCCATCCGGCATCCAGCAGTGGGCTCTCGGGATGCTTCTGCCTTTGGGCTTTTGGGAATAGTGCCGCTGGGAACACGGGGGTGCGTATGTCTGTTCAAGGCCCTGCTTTCAGGGCTTTGGGATAAATACTCAGAGTGGAACCGGTGGCTTCAATGGTAATTCTGTGTATAATTTTTCGAGGAGCCCCCATACTATTGCCCACGGCCGCTGCACAAGCGGCGAGGCACAGGGGCTGCGATTTCTGCACGTCCCTGCCAACACCTGCTGTTCCCTGGGTTTTGACAGTAACCATCCCAGTGAGTGTGACAGGTGGTAGCCCATGGTTTTGAGTTGCTTTTCCTTAATGATTAGTGATAACGAGCACCTTTTCATTATCCGTCCTTACAGTAAGGAATATTCAAGCATTCCAAGGGCAGATGATAAAGAAAGCCAGTGTCTCCCTTAAACCCCCTCCCCAGGAATGACATCCGCTCCATGGGCCCCCTGCCGCGTGGCCCCCTAACTCTGCACGTGCTAACACAGCATCTGTTTCTCAAATGACCTCCTGGGGTGTTTTGCCTGGCGTGGCCTCCTTCTCGTGGGCAGCAAAGGACCTGCTGGGCCGTGATCGTGCCCTTGGGGATCATGGTCTCAGCCCCACGTCCCTTTACCTCAAGCTTGAAGGTTCAGAAACCAGACCTGGTCCCTCAGCCTCGCAGCGCCCGTAGGCCCACCCAGCGCCCCCTGTGCAGACCCTCTGTCTAATCTATGGTGTCAGCTCTCCCTCACCGCCGCCAGGTCCCGCTGTCGGGGTGGCATGGTGATGACTGTCCCCGAGATACAGAACCTGTCCCTAACTGACGGCGACCTAGGCTGCCCCCAGCCTTCCCTGCCAGCTCTGCAGGGAGAGAGCGGTGCCCCTGCTTCCCCCACCCCTGCTTTACTCGTCATGTCTCAGCGGGGCTCAGTGAGACCTCAGTCCTTCTAGGGGGCCTTCAGCTATCCCCTGCCCGGGCACCATCCTGACGGCTTCCCTTGAGGCCACG